TATATTTACCTTGGTGGCATGGACGAATTCTGCACTAGCTTCCCTCAGTAGCTAATGCAGTCAGACACTATGCCAGAATAAATTCCTTTTTCACACTGATTGGTATGCTTTTTTTATGAGAATGGGCATGCCTTTGGAAGTGGGATACATAATCATTGTTTACTCCCAACAGAAGTGCACAGGCAGTTTGTGTTGGACCAGTTGCGCTGTGAATTCTCTTGACTACTCTGCACTTCCATGAAATGCATATCTTCTGTATATGTATGTTGACACACAAAATGGTTTTTAATCTTTCAGGCTGATTAGGGGGCTGGTTTTGGATCATGGTGCTCGTCATCCTGACATGAAGAAAAGAGTGGAAGATGCTTATGTTCTTACTTGTAATGTATCTCTAGAGTATGAGAAGACGTAAGTACACAGCACAAGGTGAGGAGCAGAAAATGCTCCTGTCTTAAAAAACTTTTAATGAAGGTGTGCTTAAATAAGAACTGGAAGGACCACATAGACTCTTCTAGAGCGAGGCAGGTAGTGTATAAGATGGAATGGAAGAGGTGATGCTCCTTCTGCAGCTCTTTTTTGGGAAAGGGAAGCTGGTGGCCGCGACAATGTCTGAGAGGCAGAGCTTCGTAGTGGTTTTTACTTTGTTGTTTCATTGAAGAAAGGCTGGAAGCCCGCCCTTCCTTGGGCATAATTTTATATTGTAGAGTGAACATCTAAGTATACTTCAGGGTTCGCTCAGTTTCAAATGTGTGCCTTATTTCTTGCAATGGAAAAGGTCTGAACTGGAAGGCAGGAACAGCTGTATGTTGCATGCTGGTTTGGGGGGTGGTATCTTGGTTTGTTTTGATTTCTTTACAATGTTGCTGAGCAGATTGATCCCTTACACTTAAGTTTATTTCTACAGCAGAGAGGATAGTTTGCTTACTGCTTTTTGGGGTTTTTTTTGTCTCCTTCAGAGAGGTGAGCTCTGGATTCTTTTATAAAAGTGCTGAAGAGAGAGAGAAGCTAGTGAAAGCAGAAAGAAAGTTCATTGAAGACAGAGTGAACAAAATCATAGACTTGAAAAGAAGAGTCTGTGGCGATTCAGATAAAGGATTTATTGTGATCAACCAGAAGGTGAGATGAAGGGTGTAACTAGAAAAATTAATTTGAAATGTTGGCTTTCTCGGCAAGCTGTGTGCCGTTTGACTCACTTTGTACAGTTCTTCAGACAGAAATAGCTAAATTTAGGCTGATGTGCTTTCAAATATATGCATAGAGTTCCTGCTTGAGATCTTTATTGAGCCCAGAGGAAGAAGTTACTCATTAGTGTCAGACAGAGAGAGGGTATTTTTAGCTTTTTTTCTTTATCCTGATGGTCACTTTCTTTGTTTCTAGGGAATTGACCCATTTTCCTTGGATGCACTTGCAAAAGAAGGAATAGTTGCTTTGCGGAGAGCTAAAAGGAGGAACATGGAAAGGTCAGTTCCTGGGGAGAGAAGAGGGTAAAATAACTTGCTCTTCCAAACTCAAACAGTGAGTTGAGTCTGGCTTGTAAGGACTTGCTCTAGAAAGCCCACTTTAACCTATCCAGCTCTTACTGGTGTAACTTAGGGTAGTTTGTACAAGCCATAGAAGCATCAGTTCAGCACACTGGGTGGTGTAGGAATTTGAGCTATCAGTATGCTTCAAATGTAGACACCTGTAGAGGAGACTTAATTCTACAAGCTTATTTTTGTGAACAGAAGCACACTGTTCCAGGCCTAGGAACTGGGGTGTTCTGCATGCTGAAATACTACTGTTATGTCAGTGACTTCAGATTTTACTTAATATAAAGCAAGTGCTAAACTGTACACGTTCTGTCTCAGACTGACCCTTGCATGTGGCGGTACTGCCATGAACTCTGTGGAGGATCTCACTCCTGACTGTCTGGGACACGCAGGGCTTGTCTACGAGTATACACTGGTAAGTATGACTAAGCTTTCAGCTGAAGGCAGGTTAAATATGCCTCACTTGATGCCAGTTTTTCTTTTGTCTTGCTGTCTGTGCATGGATTTTTCTTAAGTGTTTTAAGAGCTATACTGGAAATTGAGAAAACGGAAATAAGGTTCTGCTGCTTCTCATAGCTTCTTGAAGTGCTGTTAGTCCAAAACTGAATCCAAAAGTGTCTGTTCATTTTTTTATGTGTACACATTGATTAAGCAAATGTATGACACAAACACATAATCCTGTTTTTCACAGGGTGAAGAGAAATACACCTTTATTGAGAAATGTGACAACCCCCGCTCTGTTACCCTGTTGATCAGGGGACCAAATAAGCATACGCTAACACAAATCAAGGATGCAGTAAGAGACGGTCTGCGTGCTGTTAAAAACGCTATTGAGGATGGTAAGTCTGCACTCTGTTTAGTGATATTAAGGATCTTCTGTTGAAATTCACTTCAAAATTAGTGAATTTTGCATCGGCTTCCTTGGTATCCAGTGCAGTCGGACACCAAGCTGAGTGTATTTCAGTGCTTTTAGTTACTGTTTTTACACCTCGTATTTTACAAGTAGTTGATAACTGTGTAAGTACTTACCTGATCAGATGCAAGCTGTCTTTTTAAGGATGAGGGAAGAGATCAAACGACACTAAAAATTAACTGTTCAAATTGGAATAGGTGCTTACTGTGAAGTCTCAGTATCAAGTTTTCCCTTGCAGGATGTGTGGTTCCAGGAGCAGGTGCACTAGAAGTGGCAGTAGCTAATGCTCTTGTGAAGCATAAACCTAATGTAAAAGGAAGAGCCCAGCTTGGAGTTCAGGCTTTTGCTGATGCCCTGCTCATCATTCCTAAGGTATCAGGAACTCCTGAATAAAGTGGCCTTAAAGCACCCTGAGACCCATCGCTTTTTCTCCTGGAGGTCTCTTTTAATTAACAACATGAAATAATATCTCTGTTTTCTCAAAGGTTCTCGCTCAGAACTCTGGTTACGATCCCCAGGAAACACTAGTGAAGGTTCAGACAGAGCACGCAGAATCGGGGCAACTCACTGGAGTTGATCTGAACACTGGTGAGAACTTTATAACATAGTTTGTAACATAGCTCTAGTGAGAAACTGTCGTGACTCAGCTCCACGAATAATAAAGTTGCTCTGAATGCAGAAAGCTGTACCTTTTTTCATAAAAAAGCTATGCCAAATGCCTTGGCAAGTGTCTTGATGCTGCAGTCAGTCTTGGCGTGCTGTAGTACTTAAATACATTCTGTTTAAGTTTTTTGTGAAGATAAAGCACAGGGTAACGCTGTGTCGGATGTAGCAAGTAGTATCAGATGTTAGCGAAAAGTCTTGGAATTATGTGAGCTGGTAATTTAAAGACTGTTACACTTCTTTTGTAGGTGAGCCAATGGTAGCTGCAGCAGCGGGAATCTGGGATAATTATAACGTCAAAAAGCAACTGCTTCATTCATGGTAAATGTTACAGTATTTTCACTTTCAATAGCAGTGGGTGTTTGGTCATTGAAATTGGTAGGGTAATGTGGAATCGAGGGTTCCCACATAGAGGAAGCTGTCTTGAAAGGCAGAAATGAAGCCGAGTCTTCTTTGACCTATGTCAGAATGGCTAGTCTAACAACATTTATTTAATCTTTCTAGCACGGTCATCGCTAGCAACATTCTCTTGGTGGATGAAATTATGCGAGCTGGAATGTCCTCTCTTAAAGGCTGAGTTGGATCTGCTCTTGTCGATGGTGGTCAGCTCCCGTCATGCCCCATGGAATGTCTTTAAGAAATCCACCCGAAGGCGCTCTTTTCTTAGCTGTAGTGGATTTTCTCAGCAATGGAAATTACTCTGCTGTAACGAGCAGCCCCTCTTTGTAAACACGGCCACTCAAAAATGTTAGCAACTATTCAAATATTTGGCTCTAAAAATCAGTTATTTATTTTTAATTTCACTGAAGCATACAACTGAAGTTGCTTTCCTTTTTACCCAATAAACTGTTACGTTCTGTGCTTTATGTGTGTCGATTATTTAAAACTTTACCTTCCTTGGGCCAAGGTCTTGGAACGTTGTGCTTGCTGCCCTCGTGAGCAGTCATGGGCTACAGGCCTTTGTCTGCGGTCTCTGACCGTGTTACTGGTGGCGATACCTGCCCTGTCCGTGCGTCCCTGCTCCTGGGGGGGGCTGTGGGAGCAGTGCGGGTTCGGAGCTGGGATTTGTTCAGCCCCTCACAAAGCTGGATTAAGCCCATTGCTTCATAGTTTTGTACTTGTTTACAACTAAAACGGAGTTCTGGAGTGTTTTGAAGTGCATGTTGAAAGATGTGTTCCGTGTTGCCATAACACACTGGCAGATTTTTAACGCTGATCCTGCTGCAGTAAAGCATTTCTGGACAAGGAGCACTGTGCCAGATCCAGGCAGAACTGCGTCCTCAGCTCAAGGCTACCGCCAGGAGGGGGTTGGGGGAGAAACGGGCTGCTGCCCTCCGAAAGGATTTTCCCTAATTAATCCTACCCGTGTTTCGCTAATTTGAGGGACAGCAGCCTCCTTCCCTAGTCCCAGCTGGCTGGCTGAATGACTCTAAAAGCTAAAACCAAAAAAACCCTCTTTTGCATATGAAATACTTAACTGCCTCGGGGGGGGGGGGGGCAGGTTTTGATCCCTTTCCTTAAACACCCGCTCGGTAACCGCGCAGCGCCCAACGCGTGATCCCGCGGGCCGGACCCGGGGAAAGTCTTCCCCGCCCTCCCGTGGACGAAGGGCCCGGAAACACTTCCCCCCCTGAGCCGGCAGCTCTTCTGGGTCAAAACGGCGGCGGTTCCGGGCGGTGGTTGCCTTTCCTCTTCCCGGAGCGGGTGCCGCCGCCCGGCATGGCTGCGGGCGGAGCGGGGCTGGCTCTGCTGGCGTGCTGCTGGGCGCTGGGCAGCAGCCGGGCTCTGCGGGGTGAGGGCGGGAGATGCTGCTGCTGCTTTTGGCCGGGCCTTCTGCCTTGGCTCCTTGTAAGGGAAGCCGTAAAAAGCCCTTTGCTTCGCCCTGCATAGGTTACCCTTTTTTTTGTCCTAATAGTTTGAAGGAGCTGCCTTGCTGATTTCACCTGACTGGAGCCGTTCCTTGCCTAAGAGAGCCACTGAAAATGTGACTTAAAGTATTTTAAGCACCTTAGCAAAAAAAAATGCAGACCTATACAAGTGCTACTCGTAGTCGCTTACCATATTGCACCCCCCCTCCAGTATACAAAGTGACTTTCTGGCAAATAATGCATGCTGTCCTGCGCGGTCGTGTTCAAAAATGAAAAGTTCTCATACTGAATTTCTTCACGTTTAGCTTTTGGAAAGGATGAAAACATGGTGCAGCTGCCTGGGGGGAAGTTTCAGATGGGATCCAGTTCCCTGGAGAAGAGGAATGAAGAAGGGCCCGTCAGGGAGGTGACGGTGAAGCCGTTTGCCGTCGACAAATATCCCATCACAAACAGGGATTTCAGGTAAGAGCGAAGGTTTGGGTCCACGTGGCTCGCAGGGGCTCAGTAGCTCGGCCGGCCGCAGGGAGGATGCGGGTGTTGGTGCCGGGTCTTTTGGGGCTGGTTCCCAGGGTCTGAAAGCCAACGCTTGGATGCTCTCAGCAGTTTCATTAGAACAAAAAAATGTGTCCGTCAGTAATAAAGCACCTCTATGGCTGCAAGCTGAAGCATCTTACCAGTGTAGCTTGCAAACATGCTTCCTCTCCTCCCTTCTTTTGTCTTCCCTTCTTTGTCTTCCCTTCTTTCTCTTCCCTTCTCTCTTTTTTCCTTGCAAACGTGCTTTTTTGTTTGTGTGTCTTTTTCCTACTAATAGGGCTGTACTGCTTCAGATTTCGGGTTCCTATGGGTTCAATTTCCATTTGTAAACACTGGACCACTCCATGTATTTTATAGAAGCCCTTGTACAGAGCACTAATAAATGCAGTGGGGGAAAATGCCTTTATTTGCCTGGCTGAGCCTGTGCTGGTTAAAAAGAGCCAACACTTCCAGCAACACACAGTAATGGCAATTACTGCAACTTAGGTAACAGGGAAACAAATGGGACAGAAGCAGGGTGAGATTATTCAGCAGCATGTGACATTTTTTTGCATTTGGGGGACATTTAACTAACAGCGGCCATAGATTTTAATGGCTTTTAAGGGATTTTTGATCTGTGCAACTGTTCCATTTTGTGGAAGACCAAACTGCAGGGTGAGTTTACCTGCACAGGTAACATAAAAACTATCAGATCTGTGAACAGATGCAAATCAGACTGTCTCATCTGTTAAATCTGTATCAAACCTACTGGAGCTGTGCTGGGGAGGAGCTGGGACTCTCCGCCGATGGGGTTCAGTCGTGTACGTTTTGCCTTGCCCTGAACTTACTGCGTGTGCAGATTGCTGTATTTGGTGGTGCGACTCTTGAAGAACTCTTACCCAGATGCCTAAGCGTGTTGTATTTATGCCAGGGAGTTTGTTAGAGAAAAGAAATACAAAACGGAAGCAGAAGCATTTGGCTGGAGCTTTGTCTTTGAGGATTTCGTATCCGAAGAGCTGAAAAAAAAAGTCACCCAAAAACTGGAGGTAAATCTAACTCCCATGAGGGATAAGTTTCAGTGATGATGATGGAGATGGTATTTCTGATCACATCTCTGTCTGACCTCTCTGTTTTAAGTAAAAAAAAAACCAAAAACCAGGAGGGGAGACCCTTGCCGGTATTGCTTTTCCACTGAGTAGCAGCTGCCTCTCAGTGCAGAGCCTGGCCATTCTCAGGGGTTTTTCTTTAGTCTTGGGTTGTTTTGCTTTTGAAACTACCAGCAGGGTTGAGCCTGGGTTGATTTATGGTGCTCCTCTGTTTATATCCTCTCCAAACACTGTCAGACTGGACTCATTAGATGCTCCAGTAAGCTGGGAGAGAGCAAAGCGCATTTCAAAGGTTTATTAATCAAATCTTAAAACAGAAAAACTAAACAGCATGGTCTTCTTGGTCTGTTTTCACTTTTAAAAGCGAATGCCTCTACTTGTTGGAAAGCACTATCAAAATGCCTGTGATAACCCAGCTCAAACTGCAGCATTTAACCATTTCCAGACTAACAAGCGCTCTTTCTTTACACACACTGCTCTAGGATGGTGTTGGGGGGGGGACGACGACGATGTTGCCAGTTCACCTTTAATCTGGTGTTGTTTCTTTTCCCAGTCTGCCCCTTGGTGGCTGCCCATCGAGAAGGCTTTTTGGCGACAGGTGAGTAAAAAAGTTGGGTGCGGTGAGTCCTCTCTGTGCTGGGCGTGTGCATGTGTTAGGGTGTGCTGAACCTTATCAACTGAAAATGGGGAAAAAAAGAGCATTTCTGGTTGCTGGATGTTCCCTGCCTTGGCCTGTTCTGTCCTTTAGTCCCTTTTTAATTGAAAAGCTTATAAAATCAATTAAAATCTGTTTGATGCAATTCCTCCCAGCCCTCGGGTCCTGGCTCCGGCATAAAGGACAGGCTAGATTACCCGGTGCTGCACGTGAGCTGGAACGATGCGCAGGCATTCTGCGCCTGGAAAGGGAAGAGGCTCCTGGCGGAGGAGGAGTGGGAATTTGCTGCCAGGGGAGGACTAGAGCGTACGTACCACAAGCTCTGACCTTTTTCCAAACTGAGGCATTGAGTAACGTTAGTTCCACCAGATTCAAACTTCCATCCAGGGATGTTTTAGAGATTAATCTGGGGGGCTGAACCACCTCTTCTGGCCTGGGAGTCAAATTTATAATGATAATAATGATAATGATAATAATAATAATATAGGAAGAAGAAGTGGCTTATCTATGGTCTTAATGTATCTTCCTACACGAAGCATTTCTGCCAGCTAAAAATACCATTTCTTTGCTGTGGGGCAAGGAGTGACCCACCTGTCCCCACACACTGATGGTGGCATAAAGCAGCTGCTGGGATCACTGGGGGGACCGCAGGACTCCCTGGTGCGAGCAATGGTTTGTAAATGGAAAGCTGTTGCTGATTCCCATCTCTCCTTGCCTCCTTGGCAGTGTCTGTAGGGATTAGACCGACAAGCCCCATTCATATAACCTGTCTTGGTGTCCTGAGCTGAGCAGAAAAGGACAGTCATAAAATACTGGTTAAAAATAGGCAAATGCAGAGGCTGGAGTGACACAGGGGTAACGGGTGTCTCTTCCTTTTTGGCAGAAAGAGTGTATCCCTGGGGAAACAAGTTTCAGCCGAACCGTACAAATCTGTGGCAGGTAAGATCGTAAAAATGATCCTGTCTACGCTGAGCTCTTCTGAGGGTGGTGTTTAACCTGACCACAGAGTGTGCATGGCTGCCTGAGCAGGCTGCGTGGTCCTGGGAAGCAATGCAGACTTACCTGCAGAGGACTGAAATTCAGCTCCTGGTGGGTTATCCAAAATACCCTTACAGGGAGCAAACTCAGCCCAGCTTCCCTGGGAAATCAGGATTTCAGTGTTTCCAAAAATTCATACATAAATTTGTCTGAAAAGGCGGTTGTCTTTGGAGAACTTTAGGTGGTTGATCTCCTTTCTTGATCAGAAATGCTGCATAGAGTTAATTACCACGAGTTATTTCCATTATTTAAGTGTAATACAGTCCTGTGAAGAGGAGGACTTGGCGTTGTCTCCGTGGTGGGTCTTTGCTCAGAGTGATCTTTCTTCCCACAGGGTGATTTCCCGAGGGTCGACACAGCTGAAGACGGTTATCACGGCGTCTCACCGGTGGCAGCGTTCCCTCCTCAGAACAACTATGGTACGGAGCAGGCATCCCCACCCTGGTTTTGCGAATGGCATCTGCTTCCTAAATTAACACTAATTATAAAATCCTGTAGTTGTGGCAGAGTTTCAGATATGATGTGGGATCACGTCAGCATCTTGATAGAATAACAGAGCCCAGCAAAAGCATTGATGGTTGTTACTGAAGTTGGCTGATGTGCACCTGGTGCACTTCAATGCAACAAACCATCCCCTGCTTTTAATTAGAAGTCAATTATTTTGCAGTTCAGTGTGATTTACCTGAAAATCCTGAGCACATTGTTTTGAGGGCAGCAGATGCCATGCCCTCACACAGACACAAAATGATGAGACACATTAGAAGTCCAGTTGTAAACTGGGGCCCGTTTGAAATACAGTGAAGAGCTTCTGATTCCCAGTCCCACCATTAAACCATGCTCTTGCAGTGATGCTTTGAATGTCACACCCCCTCCCATATGCTAAAGTGCTTCTGCAGCCTTTGCAAATGTGCTCTCATCATCCTGATGCAAACCCCTCCGTGTCTCAGGGCTCTACGACCTGCTGGGAAACACCTGGGAGTGGACCGCATCGGAGTACCTGACTCCGGGGCTCTCATCCAGGCAGCGCGCTCAGAACATGCGGGTCCTGAGAGGTGCCTCCTGGATTGACACTGCAGATGGGTCTGCAAATCATAAAGCTCGTGTTACTACCAGGTAGGTCTGGGCAATGCCCAGGTGCTGTTTTGCAGTGATTTCTTATTGCTTGGTCATAGAAGGAGGGGTGGTTATTTTAAAAGACATTTGTCTCTTCCTACTCAGTTTTTCTGAGAAGCAGTTAGGAAAACATCCTGCAAATACTGCTAAAAAATTTCCTGCTATGAATATGTTCCTAATTGCTTCTCAAATAGTGTATTTTCCATCAATTATTTAGAATTAAATGCTTTTCTTGAAGTTATTCAAGGGAAGTGGAAGATGTTTCTGTTCTGTTACAGAGGGTCACGTTAAATGATATAAGCATTAACTAGGAAGGATCCCTAATGTTGGGTCTCTTTTTTTTCTCCGGGAGAATGGGGAACACGCCAGACTCAGCCTCCGACAACCTCAGCTTCCGCTGCGCTGCTGACATCCCGCCTGCCATGGCTGAAAAAAGCCAGACCAAACCCGAGCTCTGAGGAGGTCACTCGGGAAGACCTGAAGGCATTTTTCTCCTGTGGAGATGAACAAACAGCAATCCCCAGCAGTCACTTTCATTAAACCCAGTTTTAAAAATTAAAAATAAATCCTTTCAGCTAAAACTCCTTTCTGCACTGGGATGTCTGGCTACAAGCAGTGATTGGGAATGGCAGGCAGGGTGGTTTGTCTTTAATGTCCTTTTGGGGTGGTAGGTATTGCAGTTCTCCTTTTGGTGTCCCTTTTACATAAGCAAAGGGGTGCATGTGTGGGACGGGGCCACAGCTGCTCTGACCTCCAGCCCCAGCCGGAGCAAGCAAACACCCACAGCCCCCCACGACCACCGGCATGGGGCTGCCATGAGGGGTGGCTGTGGGGGGAAGCAATGGGGACATATCCGTGGAAGGGGGACTCGCACATCAGTCCCCATCTCCTCGGGAAGTCCCAGCTTCATACCAGCCACCCAGCCTTCCCTGAAGTGAAACAAGGCACCTTTATTGACCCTTAAAGAGTGACAAAATGACATGTGTCCTCATTTCTAAGTGCATGGATGACACAAACCAGTGACCCCCCTCTCCCAGGTGTTAAACCAGCATAAAAACTACAAACCAGCTATACAAGAGCTCTGCCACCAAATCTGATGGGACCAGGAGCCCTGAGCATGTGGGTGGGTGAGGACACCCCTCCGGGCACTGCTCATCCCTCCTCCACCTGTGACTGCCCCAAAAGGGTCCCGCTCTGGTCCTGGGCTGTGCCCAGGGCTGAGCCTTCCCCATTGGGAGCTGCAGCTGGTTACGGCTCTTTCAGAGGCAGCTTCTCCAAACCCATCCCTTACAGCGGGACAAATCCTGGGGGCAAATTGCAGCCATCTGCTGGGTTTGCATTTTCACCTGACCCAAGGCCAGCTGTATCTCTAAGAAAAAGCAAAAGAAATCACCAGTTGGTTTTCAAATATTTTACTCGCCTTAACTCTGAGCAAACTCATCGGCTTACACAGCAGCGATCAAAACAGCCCTTCCTCGGCTGCCAGGGTCAGCAAAATGGCCTTGCAGGTGTTCTCGAAGAGGGCAGCTCTGTTCTGCGCCTCTCCCTTCTTCACCCAGTGTCGGTAGGTCCTGAAGGCGCAGGCATCGATCAGCTTGCGGATGGGCTTCAGGGCGTACGGGTCCCGCACCACCAGCTCCCTGGTGACCGACTTGACCAGCCGGTACTGGTAGTAAATACGGACTGACGCCAGGACGGTCAGGCAGATCACCTGCAGCACGGGGGGAACAGGCTGGAATTCGTGGCCAGTTCTACAATGGGACCGGATTGGCCCCAACGCATTCCACGTGGCTGCTATCCATGTAGAGGAGTTGGGAGGGAGCCCAGCTCCTGGCACAGGTATTTACTCCCATGTGAGCAGTACAGGCTTTTTCCAAGTGTGCCCTTAAGGTCAGAACTGCAGGTCAGTCCTAAATGTGTCACCTAATGCCACTTCAGGTACCTTTGCACTGCCCTAATGGCTGGCTATAGGGAAGGGAAAGGAAAGGATTCCTCTGTTTTTATCAACTTGTGCATCATTTGATGCACCCATGTGATGTCAGCCTCATCAATTTCCCCTTAAAACTGATCTTTTTCAATGTCTTTTTTCAGGGGGGGAGGAGGCAGGTTTTTCCCTCCTCTTACTTAATTCTCTTTTGTGAAAAAGCCCTTAGGAAGTACCAGAAAGTAAGCACAATAGTGCTCGGAGAAGGGTCTCCACCCAGGCTGCAGCATCCTGCCAAAGCCCAGGTCCATCAGCCTTGCTGAACTCCCAGTTTCTCCCAGCTCAGCTGGAAAACCCATCCCACCACTTAGCTCCTGCAGCTCCCAGGCTCAGGGTCAGGGTGCTGTGACACCCCCATACCCAACCTCACCTTGAATTTCCGGAAGGGGCTGAAGTGCCGGACCTCCTCCACGTCGTACTGCTGGAAGAAGGGATGGGCCAGCGCCTCACCGGCCGTGTACCGCTGCCGCGGGTCCACCACCAGGAACCGGGAGATCTGCACAAGGGCACCGGATCAACCCAGGGTGTCCCAGGTGTTTGCAAAACTCCCCTCCAAAAGGCTTTCCCATCCCCAAGCACCTACCAGGTCCTTGACGGTGTCCGAGCGGTCGTCCCACTCTGGGGAGCCGAACTGGTAGTCCCCGTTCATGATCATCCGCAGCATCAGCATCTGCTTGCGGTGCCAGAAGGGAGGCGAGCCAGCCAGCAAGGTGTACATGATCACCCCGGTGCTCCACCTGCGAGCAGCCCAGCCAGACCCTCCAGCCTCGGGTGGCACCCCAGGGGCACCCGGCCGGATCTGCGCCCCAAGGGTGGCTTGGTGCCTCCCCCCAAGCGGGACATGCTGAGCTACGTGTGGTTTTGCCTCCCTGGAAACCAGGAGGAAATGGCCCTGCATGATGTCCAATGAGGGAGGCTGAGCTCACTGCTGAGGCTCATTAGCCCTGATGGGTAATAGGGAGCAGGGGCTGCCCTGCTGTTGGGTAGGGGTTTGGGGTTTTTGAGTTCAGTTGATAGGGAGCTGCTCCTCTAGATGCTGCAGGAGGAAGCCAAGTTGGAGGTATTTGCTTTTCTTGTTTTTTTCTTGGGGTTTTTAGGGGAGGGAGAGGATGTGGGAGGATGGGACATGGTGGTGCCAGCAAGGCTGGATGCTCTGGGGCTGTCTCAGCTCAGGCTGTGGTATGCAAAGTGTCCTGGCATGGGAGTTAACAGAGGTATTTAAACTGAAAAGGGGCTGAAATGCCCCAGTGTGTTTCAAGTGGTTGGTTACAGCTCTGACCACTGCAGACCTGAGTCTGAAACCACCAGAGATGGTGGCAAAATCCCTGCAGGGCTCTGACAGGCTTTCCTGAGCTGGCTACTCTCTCAGGGGCTGCCTCAAGTTCATGTCTTGCTATGGGGTGTGTTTAAAAAGTCCCGTGTCTTGAAGCCCAGCCTGAGTTGATTTTTATGAACAGAAAGTGTTGCTTTCCCTCCTCCATAACAAGGCAAAGTGGGGAGATGGGCTCGTCCCCAGGCAGCTTCTCCCCCAGCTCTGTGCCAGAGCCCCCTGGTCACCAGGACAACCCCTCGCAGCCCCCGAGGTTGTCTTTTGGTGCATCATTTAATTCCGTCTGAACACTCAAATGGGTGTCCATCTGCACAACTCTTGCTGTGCCTTCAACCATGCATGTTTTGGGAGCAGCCCAAGGGGTGAGGCGGGAAAGCAGGAGTTTCACTCACATATCAACCTCCTTCCCGTAGCCTTGGTGCTCGTCATCCATGGAGCACTGCAGGATCTCTGGAGCCAGGTAGCCAGGCGTGCCGCAGATCTCTGTGAAGACAGGGCAGAGTATCCCCCTGAGACACCCGGGAGGGTTTGTGCCATCCCCACCACCCCTGAGCAGTCAATGAGGGGGGCCTGGATTCCAGGTGGGGTCTTTGCAGTGACGGTGCTCGCCCGGAGTAACTGCAACTCATGTGCATCTCACTGGTGACTTTCCTTGGTGAATTACAGTGGCTAAAAAGTGAGCAAAGAGAACACTGGGGATGCTGGTGGGAGGGGATGCCTGTTGTTGGATATGTGGCTCTTTGCAGGGTGGGAGTTGGGAAAAGACCTTAAAGTTAAGCAGTAAATGGATGGGGTAGTGAGCATCAACTGGAGGAGAGAAGAAGTGGAAAGAATAGGACGGTTTTCCTAACGGGCAGCAACTCTGTCATGGCAAGGAGTGTGGTGTGGAGGCCATGCGCAAGTAGAAGGGCACCCCAAGCCAATAGGCACCCATTTGCACCCACAGCAGTGAGACTGGGCCAAAGGAGACAGTGGTGTTAGAGAGACTCCACCAACTTGCCACGGGCCAGCCTAGCATCACCCCCGCCTCGCCGTGCTCCTACCTTTGAGCTTCTCATTCTCGTGCAGCTGGCAGGAAAAGCCAAAGTCCGTCAGCTTAATGTTCATGTCGTCGTCCAGGAGGATGTTCTCCGGCTTCAGGTCCCGGTGGACGATGTTGATGGAGTGGAGGTACTGGATCACTTCCAACAGTGCACGCATGATCTTCCTGGGGATGGGTGACAGCATTTCTCCTAGCCCGAACGCCCACCAGCACCACGTTCCCGGGGAAAGGGATGGGGACAGGGACCGTGCAGCTCAGCCCCTATGTCTAAGCACAGGGGCTTAGCCCAGGGTGCTATTTTGCCTGTGGGTGCCATGCTGGCTGCGAGGTCATCCTTTGAACCCGCGCTCTGCTTTTGTAACATGATTTTCAGCCATCTGCACCTGGCTTTACCTGGTTTCCTTCTCGCTCAAGGTGACTTTCTCAGTGAGGTAGTCAAAGAGCTCCCCTCTCTTCATCCTGCACATGGGAGGAAAAATGGAGGCAGGCAGCGGCTGAGCTGCAACAGCACACTGGCCCCGAGCCCCTGGAGAGGATCGCCTGGGGGTCGCTGCCCCTTAACAGCCCAGGGCACACGTTGCACAAAATCACAAGCCAACTTGTTCATAAAGAGGGGTAAAAATGCGTTATATTGCTGCAAAACATCAGGCAAGAGGAGGAAAGGCTGTCCCCAGAGAGGGCAAGTTTCAGATGGGACAGGGACAGGGCTCTCCCTGTGCCATCCCCCTCTGCTGACGTCCATCGCGCTGCCCCAGCGTCAGGAGTCATGGCGTCATGTGCGCCCTGGTCCCGCTGGGCATATAAATAACCCGCAGGGATGCATGACAGCTCCCACCAAAGGTTAAGGGGAAACCTGAGCAGTGTTGAGCCGCTGACAGAGGGGAAACACTGCTGGTGGCAAGGCTGCAACAAGCTGGCTCACAGCAATCGAGGCTTGTTTATACCTTAAGCAAGAGCTGGTCATCCCCCCACTTTGCGCTGTTTGGGCCATAAAAAGCTGGGGCGAGTGTTGGCTAGTGGCCATCTGCAGAGCAGGAATAAGCTTGGGGAAATGGTGCTGGGGTGACAGGCAAGCTGGTACTTACAGGTCAAACACCAAGAA